ATTTCAATAAATAGAAACAAGAAATTGAAAATTTGAAAAATGTTATTTTTAAAAATTAAAAAAAAGAATAAATTTAGCAAAACTTAAAGTAAATCGAAATAAATTCGAATTTATTATCCCCAAAAGGGAAAAAAACCTAAGAAGAATTAATAAAACATTTGAATTTAATAGAAAAAGAGTCAAATGAGAATATAAAATACATTCAGTAATTAAATAAAAGCATAAAAAAAGTAGAAAAATAATTAAAAAAATTATCTTTTGAAAATAGTTAAAATAATAATGAAATATAATCAAATTAAAAATAGAAACAATAAAATATATAATAATCTTAAGAAAATATCATATAAAATCCTTAAGAAAACTTATAATAATCATAAGATAATATATAATATTAATAAAATAATATATAATATCCTTAAAATAATAATATATAATATTAATAAGATAATCACTATTCTTCTTAATATAATTCATAGTATCTAAAATAATATTTTTAAGAAAATAATAATCAATATTAATAATAAAAACAATAAAATAAATTCATTCCCTATTAAAATATATTTAATAATAAATAAAACATAGATTTCTCATAATAGAACACTTATATTCCTTAATAAAATACTTATATTCCATAATAAAATATTTATAGTCCATAATAAAAGACATTTATTTAATAATAAAATATATATATTCCTATAGAAAATGCATATATGCCTTAAGATAATATATATTATCCATAATAAAGTAATAATTTTTCTTAAGGAAATATATATATTTAATAAGAAAGTAACAATATAAATAGAAATATAGAAAACGATAAATATATATAATTCTTAAGAAACTCATTAAGAAGTCCATATTTAAATGAAGAATAGAAATAATGTTATTTATAAGAAAAGCAATAAATAAATCATCCTAAAATTAACTCTTTTTATTATACTAATGAATAAAAAACTCTAATATTTTAACATAAACCATATAAAGAATAAGTTTTTGATTATTCTATAAATTAATATAAAAATAATTTTATAAATAAAAAATATTGTTACAATTGATTTTTATATTCAAATTAAAATAATATTTTAAATAATATAGAGAAAAAAAATTATATAGAAAATTCACTTTATTTTATATATATTTTCAATTTACATTGATTTTATATCAATTAAAACTTTTTAGTCTTTTTCTATTTATTAAAAAGGTTTTATTAAAATTTTTTTTATTCATTCAATTTTATTGAATAATTTTTTTTTTATTATATATTATTATAATATATATATATATATATGTTTTAATTAAAAATAAATTTAACATAATATTTATATTTATATTTTTATATTTTATATATATTTTTTATATATTTTTTATATATTTTATTTTATTTACATAAAGAATTTAATTTTTTTTTATTATTTATTTAAATATATATTATACTTATTTATTTGTATTATCTACTCAATAAAAACAAACATAATATAATATAAAATATCTATATAAAAATAAAGAAAAATCATGCACTTTGTTCATTTTTAGGTATTTAAGAAGACTTTTGTATTAATTTAGCCTATCCATCTTCCCATTTTTGAGCTTTATAAATAAGAAAAACTTAAATAATAATAATTAAGATAAATATAATAGATTCAATAAGACATAAAATGACTGCAAAGCCACTTACTTATCGAATTCTAATAAATCCATTAAAACCTAAAAAATTTGCAATGCTACAAATTACATAAAAAATAGATAATAATCCTGAGATTAATTTATATTTATTAAAATTAGATTAATCTTCTAAAAAAGCTAATAAACCTTAATAAAATGCTAAACCTGCTAAAGGATTAAAAAGAATTAAAAATAAAAATGAATAAAGAATCCTTAAAGAACTAAAGCCACTAACTGTTTGAGCTATATTATTTATTATATTTATTATTGAAATAGTAAAAATCATAATATGAGTAAGCCATAATAATAAAGCTATTCTTTTATGTGGAGGTTGCAAATCAAAAGGCGAAAAATGAATAACTTTAATAAACGGAGGATAATTAAAATCGTTCCAATTTATACCAGTTTTTTTTATATTTCCATCTTTATATTTATCTTATTAACTCATTTTTTATATATAAAATTATAAATTATTTTTAAAAATATAAATAATATAAATAAAATAAAAGCTATATAAAATTAAAAAAATGTGTAATATATTTATATATATTTGTATTTATATATTTATATATATATTTACATATATATATATTTATATATATTAATATATTTTTATAATTATATATTTTATATTTATAATTTAATTTATATATATTCAAATTATTAATATTTCAGTTTAATTATTCGGTAAAAGAACATTAATTTAATTTTCAAAATTTTCAAAAGTATATATAATTAAATCTTTTTTTAAAAACTGAAAAAGCTTTTCCATACAATCTATTTTTAAAATTTTATTTTAACAGAATGTTAGTATTCTTATAAGCACATCAATAATTATTTTCTCGCCATCAAATAGAAATATATCAATAATAAATTTTGAAAACTCTACAGGAGTATAATAAGTCATTAAAGTAAAAAAATTCTAATTAAAGCACATTCCAACATCAATATCTAACATTTTCATATGGGAATATATTCTTGGCAGTTTTTCTTTAATTTGTTTCTTTAAAAAGTCTATAAGAACGAATTATTTTGCTAAACCATCTCTATATATTTCACACCAATTTTTATTATATAAAATATATATAAAAATCCAGAAACAAAACTCCTCTTAATCTTCGCTATTTATTTGTTCTTTCCCGAAAGATTATCTTATATTTTTATATTTTTTAGTATCTAATATTATATATAGAGTCGCAACTATATAATTCATTCCCTATGTATATCCTATATCTTATTAAAAATTAGCATAAGCCCTTAATATATTACATAAAGCATTTTGTCCTTATCCGTTTTCTTCTTTGAAAATTTCCTCATTTTACATTGTTCTTCTGGCGTCTAATTTTATTTATTAATCCCATTCTATATTTGGCATATTTTTTAATTTCTAATATATGTTTTTGGCGTATTATTTTTGAGTTTTTTTCATATCAGTTAACCAAAACCATATTTAAGGACGAATATCGTCAGGAATTCCTTTATGAAGGGAAACTTTTATTTGAAAATAGGATGTGTATTTTAGTTCTTTTGTTTATATTATTTTTTTCCATTCTTCTTGTGTAAATACATTTTAGGAAAGTGTTTTTTCTTTTATTAATAAATTTTAAGGCAAAAAATTTGATTGTTATACTTCTTCTTATATTTATTAATTCTTTAAAATTGAAATAGTAGATACTTTTTTTTATTGAATATATTATTAAAATTCAAATATTTTCGTTAATAAATGTTACATATTTTAAATGAAAAAACTTATAAAAAAATATATATTTATAAATATAAATATAAATATAAATATAAATATAAATATAAATATAAATATATATATATATACATTTTTTTAAAAAAAATTATACATTTTTTTTATATATAAATAACTTTATTTAAAAATTATTCTTCTTTAAACTTGAGATATTTACTTTTTTTAATTTTTTTTTTTTTATTTTATATTAATTCAAAAATTTATTTTTATTATCATTTTAACACGTTTTTTTTATTATTATTAAATTTTAATTTTTGTTACCTCCAATATTATATTTTTTTAATTATAAATATTTTATTTCTAATAATATCTATAACTACTTTTTTATTTTTATTATTTTATAATTATTATATAATTTATTAAATATAAATTTTTTATTCATAATTATTTCTAAATATCAAAAGAGAATATTTTTTTATCCTAAAATTTTAATTTCATAGTAAAATAAATTTAGTATATTTATAATTTTATTATAAAGGAAAATTTCTATGGTGATTTAATTAATAAACTACATTTAATTTCCAGAAGTGATATTATACATTAAAGCAATTTTAAATCTTTACAATTTTTTTAGAATTAACTAATATTTTTTTAAAATTCAATATTAAAAAATTAAATATAACTAAACTAATTACATAGTATTTATTTTCGTATACTAAAAAATATAAAAATTAAATTTAATACTATAAAAATATAAATATATATAATTCATTAATAAGAGTATTTTCTAAATAATTTTATAATATTAATTAAGTATATTAACTTAAATAATAAAAATAAAAAAATAAACATTTAAATAATAACACAAAAATCTAATAAAATGATTTTTTAGATATATATTTATTTATTGTAAGTTTGTTAATATATAAATTTATATATTACCTGTAAAATTATATAATATTAATATAAAATATTTGTAAAAATTTATATATAAAATATTAAAAACTAAAAGAAAATTATTATTTATATATTTATATATATTTAAAATAATACAAATAAAAATTAAAAATATATGTAAATAAAATAAAGAAAATAAAATTAATGATAAAAATAGAAATATATATATATAAATATATATTTATATTTATATTTTTATATTATTTATAAATATTTTTTTATTAATTTTTAATTTATAACATTCTAATATACATTATACTTATATATAATATTTTAAATTAATTTTTAATGAATATATTCTAATAATATAATTTTTGATATTTTTTATTTTTTCTAATATTAAAATAAATATATATTTCATTTTCCTATAGAATTTTAAATAAAATACATATGATTTTTTTTTTATTAAAACTAAACAAAGACAAAAATATTATATTTTAAGTAAATTTTATTTAATAAATATATTAAATTTTACTCTTTTATATAAATAATACATATATTCTTTTTAATATTTTTTATACTATTTTTAATTTTTTAATTAATAAAAACAATACGTATATTAATTTATTAATAAAATAAAAAACTTTTATATGTTTTTTTATTTAAGAAAAAAATAAAAAAATACACAAAAAAAGTTTTAAATACAAAATTTTTTATTATTTTCTTTTAATTATATTTAAAAAATTTAAAACCTCATATTTTTTTTTTCTATTAATATTTCTAATACATATCCATAAATAATTATTTACAATTATATTTTGCTTTGATTTACATACTTATTAAAAACGCACCTAAATAAATTAATAATTTTTTTTTTGTTAAAAAAAGAAACAATATAATATTAATTAAAACAAAAAACCTGAAAGTTTTCTATGAATCGAATAAGTTTATTAAGGAGGTGGACACAATCTATTTTTTAACATAAGTGGCATTTATTAATATGTTCTTTAAGTTAAAGTTTAATTCCCGAAATCATAATTGCCTTCATAAGCGAAAGGTTCACCTACAGTGATTATACTTTATACATGTGCATTAATCATAGTTTAATTTTCTTCGCCTGTTAAATAACCTAATTTTTTGGATAATTCGATAATTTATTCTCTATTTTAAATAGTTGCATTATAAATAACATTTAAATAGACTTCTATAAATTCATCACTATATGAATGTACTCCTCCGAAATCTATTAAATTTAGTTTATTATAAAACCTATTGAAATAGAAATTAGAAGGATTAGGATCCGTTTACATAGTTTAGAATTCAAATAGTTCCCTTAAAGTAAGTTTCATTAGTCTTCTTCCTATGTCATTTCTTTCTTCTTAACTATAATTATAACAAATATAATCTATTGAATCCTAAAAATATATATTCAAATTTATATATATATATATATATATATATATATATATATATATATATATATATATATATATATATATATATATATATATATAATAATATATATATATATATATATATATATATATACTCCTTGTATTAGTTCACTAGTTAAAATTCTTTTTGTAGAAATTTCCTTTATAACCATAGGTATATTATAATCTTTATCTCCTTTTAAAAATTTTCTCATTTATTCTTATTTTTTAGCCTCCTCTACATAATCACATTCTTATATTAATTCCAATCTGCTATAATCAATAAGTTTATCTAAAAACATTTACTTGGGAAATAATCCTGTATAAATCATCAATTTTTTTAAGTTATTTAAATCACTATCTATACTTTCCTTAACTCCCGGATATTAAATCTTAACAGCCACATCAGTACCATCTAAAAGTTTTGCCCTATGTACTTATCCTATATATAAAAATAACAAAATCAAGTATTAATCATAATAAAAATATATATATACCTATAGAAGCTGCTGCAAACGGAATATCAGAAAATTCAGAAAAATATTTCTCTTTCCAATCTTTTCCTAATTCCTAAACCATCATCTCATATAGTTAATACTAAGGCATTATATCAGCTGACTATCTAGCTCTTTCAAAAGCTTCTTTTACATGTTTTGGTATTACTTCTTCTTCCTAAATGCTTAAAGCTTATGCTAATTTTAATGGCGCACCTCTCATTTTGCATAATTTTTTTGTAAGAATATCTGCATTTTCTTCAGATAAAAGTAAACCTTTTAATCCTTCCCCACCTGAGCGTTATTTAACTCCCTATAAACATATATATATATATATATATATATATATATATATATATATATATATATATATATATATTGAGATTATTTACTATTGATGTTCTTAATAATTCCTTGGCAGCACCATAGGCTAATTATAAGCCTAAAGTACCAAATCCATATGCTCTTGAGATCTAACTGGAAGGAACTGCTTATTCATTTCCGACATTAAATTCTAGTATTTTTGTTTGTTTTTTGTTAATTATTTATTTATTTACTATTTTTTTCTGCACTTTAAGTCTTATTTAATTGTTTTCCATTTTATTATTCATTTGTTTATTGATTTATTATATCTTATACAGTATTTTTTTATTTTTCTTGTTTTTATAATAGATCTTATTCATAATGTTTTTCTTATTTTTATATTTAAAATACATTCGTATCATTTTTTGTATAGTCAAAAGTACTCAAATTTTATGTCATTTTTGATGGAGGAATTATATTGCGAATATCAAATTCAGTCTATCTTTTTATAAGACCATCAAAAACTCTATAACCGCCTCTAAAAACAGCTGAAAAATCAGTAAAATTTTAGTTTTCGACAAGTTTTTATATAATTTATTTCATTTTTATTAATTAAAAAAGGAATTTCCAGAAAAAATAAAAAAAAAATATACATATAAATATAATATATATATAAAATAAGAAAAAAAAAAAAAAAAAAATCTAATTTATATATACATATATATATATATAAAAAAAATATTTTTTATATATAAAATAATATAAATGAATAATACTATAAATAATTAAAAACAACAAAAAAAAGAAGATTTTCGTATAGAAATTCGTAAAAAAAAACAAGAAAATCAATTATAAAAAACGCGTCAAAAATACGTCCAAACTAATTCTTTAGAAATATATACTTAAAAAGACCTATAAACACAAATTTTTTATTTAAAAAAATCCATATAAACTCCTTAAACATAAATAACCTAGTAAATCCTAGAAAAAATTATCCAAAAAACCGATGAAAAATCACTCTAAAATCTCCTCTAAACAGACCTTCCGGATGTCTTAATAGACATAATAACATAAAAAGAACCCTTATAAAAACTCAAAACACAATCCCTTTTACTCCTAGCGAATTTATCGTCTACTCCTAGTATAACTTAGTAACAAAAAGTGCTATTTTTTCATATTTTTTTGAATATAATAAATACTTAGTCATCCCAAAGTCTTACTGAATATTCAATATTTGGACTAAATAATCTCCTAGGGTATGAATGGGAGGAAAATATAGTCGATTTAATATATAAAAATACCGAAAATAAAATAATAATGGTACTAAGTTCCTATTTACAGTAAAATATAAATGATTTTTTTTCAGAATAAATCCTTTATTTTATCATGAAATTAATACAGGTGAATTTTCTAAAATATTTTTAACAAATAAGGTATATTTTACCTTTTTTTTCATAAATACTATACTAAAATCTGCAAAAAGACCCCTAAAAAATACACGAAATCATCCTCTAATATACTATTTTTTCCCTTTCGATAATTTCGCAATATGATGAGACTTTCTAAGACCTAATTAAGTATAAAATACCCAAAAATATGATTAAATTCTTCACTTTTTCCCTTTCTAATTAACTTCTTTATCGTTTAATTATTTTTTGTGGTAATTTCGCAAGTTCTAATTATATATATACGTAAGAACTAATAAAATAAGGTATTTTTTTACATGTAAAAAGCCTACTTTTTCATCCAAATAGTCTCATAAGAATCACTTCAGGTTGGCTTGTGGGTAATTTAGCCGCTGGGAATCCTTAATAAGTTTAAAAATTTGTAGAAAGTGGAACTTTGGAGGTTGTTTTGGAAGCATTTTGGAACGAAAGTTAATTTAAGGCGAAAAATTAGCTTTTAATTAGTTTATGTAATTTATGTTTTGAAGCTGAGTATTATTAAATTATAAGCTTTTTGAAGTTTTAAGGTTTTTTTGAGGTTTTTGTGTATATTAGAGATTTTTAAGAAGGGATTTCTATAGAAATTTATTTATAAGTTTTAGAAGCAGTTTTGGGGTGTGTAGAAAAATGTGAAGAATTTAAAAGGAGATTTTTTTAAATGGGAGGAATCGAAAAAATAAAAATAGAAGCTTTTGAATAAGATGGGAGAGTTTATTAGTTTTTGGATATTATTTAAAGATTTTAATGAAATATTTTTTTTTTTTTTTTGTATATATTATTATAAAAAATTTAATATTGTATATTTTTTTCATTTATTTATATATATATATATATATATATATATATATTTTATTTTACAATCTTAATAAATAATGGCTTATAGAGGAAAACTTTTCTATTAAGAATAATTAAAATAATAAGTATTTATAAATATATAAAAAATATCTACTAATTTATATAAAGAAATTAAAAGAATTATAAGTAGATGAAGTTATAAAATAAAAAGCTTAAAAAGTACTAAAAAATACATAAAAAAAATCAATTTAAATCTAAATAAAATAAAGATGAAATAAATATATAACATTTTTACAGAAAATTTAAATACTTATGCAAAATAATATTAAAACGAAATAAATAAAGACCCGAATTTCAGAGAAACATTTAATAGATTATGTTAAGATTTAGGAGTAGATCCAATGATATGTATTTATAAAAAATATATATAAATAATATATATAAAAAATAGCTTAAAAAAATATATTTACAAATCTTGGTTTTGGCGATTTTTATAATGAATTAACAGTATTATAACTATTTTATATAAAAAAATTAAGAAGAAAAAAAAAAAAAAAAAAAAAGATGAAAATTTTGGATATTTGCTCAAGAAAAAAAAATTTAAATGGAGGTATGATGAAAATAGAAGATATTATAAAAGAATTTGAAAAAAAATATAAAACAAAAATTAATTTGTAATATAAATAAATATATTTAAAATATATAAAAATAGAAATGATATAAAATAATCTATAGAAACAATTTAAATGTTCGGAGGATGTAAAATAATAAATAATTAATATATATGTACAACATAAATAAATATGACATCCGAATATTTAGAATTAATTGAAATAGCTGAAAAGGTATATAATTATATAAATAGTAAAATATAAAAAATATATATATATATATATATATATATATATTTATATATTTATAAATTAAGATGGGATATATTAGCGAATAATTAATGATTGAATAAAAAAATTGGAATAAAGAGAAATTTAATGTAAAAATCAATTAATTATAATAAGAAGGAATCGTTTGGATTGATAAAAAACTAAAAATGGATAACCACATTTTTATTTTCCTTCTATGTTAGACAATTACGTTGAAAATTAATAGTATTTTATATAATTTTTAAAATGATAATAATAAAATTTATTTAATATTTATTAATAATTTTTTTTTTTTTTTTAACATTATTAGTATATAAAAATTTATAAAAAATCTCTCTATATATAAAAATATATATAAAGTTATATATGTATATTATTTTAATAATTATTGTTTTATATATACTTTTATATTAAACATTTTTATTTTTTTATTAAATAATTATTTTATTTCTATAATTAATCTAAATAAAAATAATATTTCTCTTAAATAAAATAAATATATGGAAACTGAATTATCATAAACCCAAGATTAGTAAATTTATTAATTAGTAGATAAAATAGATTCTTTAGTAGATTAAATAAATAGTTTATCATATATAATTGATAAATTAATGTACGATTAAAAATTAGCAAAGGAAAAATACACTACATTAAAATCTTAATATACATCTTTAAATATTTAAATCTAAAAAGATTTAATATTAAATTCTAATTAATAAAAATATGAAGAAAATAGTGTAAACGCTCTAAAAAATTTTCAAAATAATAAAAAATAAATTTATGAATTATTAGTGACTTCGAATAATAATCCTCCTGACTCTCCATAAAAAATTGTAGATTCATTTAAAATATTATATTAAGATAAATAAATTTCGGAGTAATTATTAAGAGATAGACTTAGTTTTTTAGAAGATGAACTCCATATGTTGAAAAATGAATAGTTTGAATTAAAAAATTAAGTAGAACTACAAAACAATAAATAAAATAATAAAAATAGTTAGATTTAATAGGAATATACAGATTAAAAAAAAAAATTCACAAATTATTAATCAATTTAAACTATGTATAAATTATATTAAGGATACCAAAATAATTGAGAAAATTATATATATATATATATATTAATAATTATTAATAACATATTTATTTATTATATATAAAATAAGTTATTCTTCATTTATATATAAATCATAAATTAAAATTAAAAAAAATTGTTATATTAATTTATATTTAAAAAATTATTATTTGTTTATATTTAATAGTAATTTTAGAATGTTAATATTATTTATATTTATATGAAATATTTTTATTTTATTAATAATACATGTCATTTTTAAATTTTAAAATAGATTAATATTTATTTAATTAAAAAAAAATATATAGAATAGGTATAATTTAAAAATTCTTTTTTCTAGATATTTTAAAAAAATAAGATTGAATTAATTTCAAAAAATGTAATAAATTAATAAGAAAAAATAATTAAAAAAATATAAAAAGTTAATAAAGTAAAAAATTATTATATAATTAAATATAATAATTTGAAATTTAAAAAAATTAATATATATATATATAAAAAAAAATATATTATATTATATAATAATTTAGTATATAAATTATGGCAAAGATTATTTCTAGAAATATATTTGATTAGTAATAAAAATAAAGATAAAAACTATAAAAATTATAAAAAAACTAAATAAATTATAAATGTAATAAGATTAAATCTAAAAAATATCTTATTAATAAGAACTTTAAGACGTAGATTAAGAAAAAATCATTGAAGAAAGAAAATAAGATTAAGAGGTTTAAATATCTGAATAGGATATAAATTAATAAGAAGTTGAAGTAGAAGATTAAGAATATGATAATTAAGAAAACTATTAATAAAACGAATAAAATTCATAATCAAGATTTTCATATATTAGATAAATAATAAAAAGATTATTATCTTCTATTTAAAAGAAATAAAAAAATTCATAAAATAATGACAAAGTAATTGAATAATAAAAAAAAAATCATTAATTAAAATATAATAATAGACTTATATTAAATTTGCTACTGAAAATTATGATTATTTAATAAATAAACAATTATATAATAATCAAAAACATTATTATTAAATCTCCATAGAAAACTCCAATAATTTAGCAACAAAAAACTCTTCTAAAAATTTCAAATTTAAAATAACTAATTAAATCTTCCACTTTCCTATAATTATTTCTCAAAAATAGCCTAAAATATGTTACCAAATAAAGTAAAGATAATAAAAAAAATATATATATAATTAAATTAATATATATTTATATATATAATAATATACATTATATAATTCAATTTTATATATATAATAGAGAAAATAAATTGATAATATAGATTAATCTATATATAATACATTATTTAATGAAGACGGTTCTAAATTACTTGTTACAACATAAGAGAGTTTACATGTATATAATGATTAAGATGGTTTTTTAAAAAGATGGAAAGTATTAAATCCTTAAGGTATTACATGGACTATAACAGATAGTGATTTAAGTAAATGCGGGAGGTATATGATCCATTGTTCTTTGAATCCTTTTATTTCTTTGTTTGATTGTAAGACAGGTTCGTATAAGAGTATTTATAATTTAAGTTAAGGAGAAGATGAAGAGGATGATGATAATTATTATTATAGTTCTTTAAGATTTTTTAGTTGTAAATTTTCTGGTGATGAGTCCAAAATTATTGCAAGTTCAGGCGTTAAAAGGAATAAAAAATCTTATATAAAAGTTAATAATTTTATATATAATAATTTTTATATTAGTATATTTAGTTATTTGATTTAGAAAAAAATAGATTATAAGATAGTATAGCCGCACATACTAATGATATAAATACTATATGTTTTATAGATAAAAGCAAATCAAATGTTTTTGTTTCTGGAAGTGATGATTGTTTATTAAAAATATGGTAATATATATATATATATTTTATTATTATGTTTTTTATTTCTTCTTATAATTAATATAAAATAATATTACAGAAAAAAATAAAAAATATATGCATAAAAAATCAAATAAAAATAATTATATATTAAAAAAGGGATACAAGAGCATTAGGTTCTTCAGGAAAACAATCAGGAGTATTAATTGGACATGTAGGTGGTATAACAAGTGTAGATTCGAGATAAGATAACTATTATATAGCTTCGAATTCAAAAGATTAAAGTTTAAAACTATGGGATTTGAGAAAAAGTGAATAAGACTATGAAAGTAAACCAAGAAAAAATTACAACTATGATTACAGGTAATATATATTTTAATATATATAATTTAATAAATATATATATATATAAATATATATATATATATATATTTATATATATGTGTAAATATTTATTTTTTATTATATATTCAAATAGATATGGCCCATTAAATTAGTAAGAAGTTTTAGAAATATCTAAATTGACTTAATAATAAAATTACGATAATTCCATTCATACATTTAGGGGTCATAGTGTATCTAGAACATTAATGAGATGTCATTTTTCTCCTTAAAATATGACAGAAGGTAGATATTTGTACACTGCAAGTTCTTGTGGAAAATTATATATGTATGATATTTTAAATTATAAAGATTTTGCATGTGTATTAAATGATAATAAATAGACTATTATAAGAGATGCTGTTTGGCATCCTAATAAAATGGAAATTATTACAAGTAATCTTAATGGTGATATATTTAAATGGTATAATAATAGAATGATTAATGAAGTAGAAGATTATGATGATTAGATTAGTCTTAGAAATAAATAAGCATCCAAATTTTAATTTTTTGAATAATAATAAGATAGTGAAGAAGAAAATTTATATTGAATTATATATATATATTTTTATAAATTTTAATTGTTATATATATTATATTTAATATAAAAATTATATTAAATTAATGTTTAGAGATATTAAATAAAAATAAGAAAATTAAAAAAATCATATTCAATTAATTTTTAATGAATATAAAAATTAAGATACAGGATTAATAGATGTTGAATTATTTGCGAGAATAATATAAGAAATGAGTAAAAATTATATATAATAATATATAAAAATATAATATATATATATATATATATATATATACATATACTTATATACATATATATATATATATACTTATATACATATATATATAGGTGTCGACAAAGAATGTTAACTTTTATTAAATAAAATTCATTCTTTAGATGAAACATTATTAAATTATGATCAATTTTAAGAATTATTTAATTTTGATTACAAAAATGTTAATTTCTATTTATTTTTTTATAAATAAAATTACTATTATAAATATAAAAAAGAATTCAAACTTTGATATTATGTTTAAATTTATATCAAATTTAGGCAATTATAATGAAAATGCGATTGATTTCTATGCTTTAAATTAAGCAAATATAAAATATGGTTTTTTTAATATAATTAAACATATAAATAATATTTATTATTTTAAATTATAAATAAAATAAAATAATAAGATCTAGGTTTAAGTGAATAAGATATATTAATTATGTTAAAACATACTTCTTAAGGAAATAATAACTTAGCTTAATATAATTTAGTAAAAGATATAATATATGACAGTAATTGAAGAAAAAAATTAAATCTATATAAAAAATATATAAATAATAAAATTAATAATAAAATTATAATATTTATATATATTTATTTATACACTTATATAAATTTACATTTATATAAAAATATTTAAAACTTTTATATATTAAATTAAATAAATAATATTTTAATTTATAAAATTAATTATTATAAAAAATAATAATGGGAATTACAATTTATCTAGAAATACATAATAATATTTTTGCATTAAAATATAGAAAATACTCTATTTACTACAAAACATAAATAAATATTTTATTTGTTAATTTTTGTATAAAAATAAAATGCAAATTATAGAAGAAATAGTATAATTTAAAAAGATACTATAAACAACAATTGCGAATAATATTTTAACCAAATAACATAATATTTCATTAAATATAACTTTTTTTTAATAAAATAACTTTTTATACTAAAAAAATGAGAAAACAATTTAAAAAAATTAAAATATTTTTAAAACTAATAAAAATAATTAATTTTTTAACTAAAAAAAATAAAAAAACTTTTTAAACTAAAAAAATTAACAATTTTCAAAACTAAAAAAAATTAAAAATTTTTAAACTTATAATTTGTTTTTTTTTTTTCAAAAGCAAAAAACCAAAAAAATAATAAAAAAAAATTATTTTTTAAATTATAAAATGAATAGTTTTTTTTAATAAAAATGGAAAACATTTCTTTTAATAATAATAAAATATAAATAAGATATTAATAAAATACCATAATCCGTAAAAGCTTTATAATTTTTTTTTTCCCTTTTTATACTCTTTTTCTTAAATAACAATTTAAAAACATCTAAATAAAATCAAACAAAAAAAAATAAGTAACATTTCTCCAAACAAGGAAAAATTTTATAAATATATTTAATTTAATAATAAAATATATATATATATATATATATCTTAAAATATTATATAATAAAAATGAAAATAATTATTCAATTTTTCTTTCCTTTCTTTTATTTATTATTACTTCTTGATCTTGACCTCGATTTTTTTTTCGGAGACCTTTTCCTAGAGCTTTTAGAAGAAACAGATGCTTCCTCTTCCGAGTTCTCTGAAGATGACGAACTTTCCGAAGAAGATGAGCTTCCCGAAGAAGAAGAACTTGCTTCTTCATCATCCGAAGAAGATGGTGTAGTAACTGTTATATTATCATAATCTATGCTATCATCTTTATTTTTATGGACATGTCTATATTTATCATAATTAACCTATGGAGCTTTAGGTCCTTCTTAATCTGTAAATTTAATATTTAACTCTTTATTTCTATAAAAAAAAATTTAATTATTATTATATATTTATTAATGTCTACTTATATTGCATTGTGGCTGAAGGTCTATATACGAAGTTATTGCGGGTTCATTTTAACATTCGTGTATTAAATGGCCAATTTTTAAACATCTTTAACATCTTGCGTTTGCACTTTTATTTATATCTTTTTTATATCTTTATAAAAATATTTATGCCTAATTATTTGCTCCTTACATATTTTTTTTATTTTTTGTTATTTATTTAAATATATATATATATATATATAATATTTATTTATATATATATATATATATATATATATATATATATATTACTTTTAATATGTACATCTATATATATAATTTTGTATATGTAATTTATTTTTGTTTATTATACTCTACATACTCATAAAGTTTTTTACTGCACTCACTAAAAATATACTTTTTTGGCCTATATTATACGAAAAATATTATTAAATAATTAGTATTATATATATATGAGTTGCCTAAAGTGTGACAATATTGATAAAACAAATACTTTTATAAAAATTAAAGTATTTAGGTTAATATTTTTATAATAAAATAGAAAAAAATAAAGAAAGTAAAAATATCTAAAAAAAGAATATATATAAGTAAATTTAGACAATAATTATATATTGAAAAACAACAAATATATATATTTAATTTATTACTAAAGTTTATATAAGAAAAAAATTTATAAATAATTATTTTATTTAATAAAAAAATAATAAATTTAAATAAAATAAAAACATAAATAATACATATTAAAGAATAATTATTATTTTTGATTATATATATATATATATATATATATATATATATATATATATATATTATTATATATATTATTATATATTATTATTATTATATATAATAAATAAA